TGCGCTTCCTGGATACAACCTGGTAAATGTGGTGCGCTACCCGGATACAACCTGGTGAATGTGGTGCGCTTCCTGGATACAACCTGGTAAATGTGGTGCGCTACCCGGATACAACCTGGTGAATGTGGTGCGCTTCCTGGATACAACCTGGTAAATGTGGTGCGCTACCCGGATACAACCTGGTGAATGTGGTGCGCTTCCTGGATACAACCTGGTAAATGTGGTGCGCTACCCGGATACAACCTGGTGAATGTGGTGCGCTTCCTGGATACAACCTGGTAAATGTGGTGCGCTTCCTGGATACAACCTGGTAAATGTGGTGCGCTTCCTGGATACAACCTGGTAAATGTGGTGCGCTTCCTTGATACAACCTGGTGAATGTGGTGCACTACCCGGATACAACCTGGTTAATGTGGTGCGCTACACGGATACAACCTGGTTAATGTGGTGCGCTACACGGATACAACCTGGTTAATGTGGTGCGCTACACGGATACAACCTGGTGAATGTGGTGCACTACCCGGATACAACCTGGTTAATGTGGTGCGCTACACGGATACAACCTGGTGAATGTGGTGCACTACCCGGATACAACCTGGTTAATGTGGTGCGCTACACGGATACAACCTGGTGAATGTGGTGCGCTACACGGATACAACCTGGTGAATGTGGTGCACTACCCGGATACAAGTAGGTATTTAAAAAAGGGCTTGGGGTTAAAGACAGTGCACAAACTGTGATACAACAAGAACATTTTTTAAAAAATGAATAATTATTCTGTTTTTAACCAAATAAGGATTCGTCATTCATCGTCAATCTTTTCTGTATTGAGCTGTGGACTCTGAATTTTGGAATTATGGTGATTTCTGGTTGAGTAAAGGTGTAGGACTCGCTTGTTGCATGTGTAAGACACAAATAGGAACACGCCTTGGAGGCCGTTGAAAACAATCGAAATTATCCTGAAAATAAAGAGAGAGAGAGAGATAGCGAGAGAGAAAGGGAGAGAGAGGGTGAGAGAGAGAGTAAACATATTACAAGCTCTTTGGATGGTGGTCAATTGTTTGGAGTTGATAAAGGAATCTAAATGGAATTCATTTGTTTAAAAAACAATCTTCCTGCGATGTTTTCGTGGTTTGCCTCATATTTATATGCACGACTTGTTTCAAGAATTAAATAACTGGACCATAACAATCTTAAGTCACATTATTAACTCTAATATAAAATTAAGTAAACAGACTAAATAATAATAAATAAATTGTAAATTGACACTATCCTCTACAGCGTGTTAATATACTATTGAAATAGTCTAGGCCGTGAATTAAACACGTCTTAAGAGAGATTTCATTTTGTTCAAATAAATGTACATTTTAAAAATTCGTCCGCAAAAAAATAATTTTTACCACATATCCGGTGTTAAACTTGTTTCCACTTGTGAGATTTTTTAAGACTTACTTGACCTTACAAACTATTTAAGTAAAAGAATCCGCATTAGAACCCTACAACCGGTTAATTACCGTAACTCTTCACTATCTGCCACTTCAGCGGCTACCCCTACGATCCAGAATACACCGGTCAGTGAGGACAGCTTCACGTAGACGAAAAGGTTTTGGTACTCGTCCGATCTGTTGGTCAGCAGCACGCGCACCCTCCTGATGTTGATGACGGTGATGACGAAGAACGTGACGTTACACGACAAGATGACGGCCAGTGGTCCGATCAAAGCGCTGGCTGGAATAGCAAGGGCAAAGATTAACCACACCGATACAAAATTGTTGAAATTATAGGCTACAAAGTAGCAAAAAAAATGTGATCTTCATTAAAGATGCCTCATTACTATTTGAAAGAATAGTCTTGTAGTTTTCAACGGGCATCAGAGGATTTATAGACATCAACTGGACACTAAAGGTTAAAATCTTTACTTGCCAGCTGAAACTGTTAATAATTTGTTTTCCTTATAGAACGAGGTTTTTGGGATTTTAGGATTGTTAATTGCATGTTTGCCGTTGAAATTGGTGACTGAACTGATATTTACAGATTGTTACCATGTCGATATTAAGTTCAGATGATAGTAAATAGAGATCTCTTTACATGGAATCTTTGTAACTAATGTGGTTTAATAGGTTTTTGTTTTGTTTTGGGGTCACATACCATTATTTTTTAAAAATCCTTTATATTAGCTTCGCTTTTCTGTGTTTAGGCCCAAATCGACGCATGGCTAATTGACCCGATCCCCCTTAACCTATCGAGCTGACACTTGTCATATAGACTCGTTGCTAATTTTTATTAGCCCCTCCCCCAATACAGTGGCGTAGCGAGGGTGTTTGGCGCCCGGGGACAAGATCCATTTTAGCGCCCCTTTTTCTTTTTTTCAACTTTCAAACCCATTATTTTCATCAATAGAATAATAAAAAAGCACATTTTGGCACCCCTAACTAGCTGGCGCCCGGGGATGTCTGTCCCTCTTGCCCCACCACGCTACGCCTCTGCCCCCACATGTCCCCCCAACCCTATTCCAAAATCAGTTTTCCTTGTTTATCGAAGGAAGATGAAGGAATTATGATGACACTGATTTCACGAAGAAAAGAAAATCCCGATAACTGCACTAAATGAGATTCTTTACAAAAATAGCGCAAGTGCGTTTGGTGCGTAAACTTTTTTTTTTTTTTTTTTTTTTTTAAATAGTTGGTGAAATTATATCTGTGGTTTAAAAGCGGGTGGAACATTAGAATATTATGTATACAATAATGAGCTACAGTGACATAACGCCAAAGAACCGGTACGATTTAAGTACGTTCGGATTCCAAAAAATAATCATAGTTATGTTCTATTATTGTATGGAAATCGAATAACATTAAATGCGCAAAAAAATATTTTAATATTTTAAATCCGCTTTTATTTTAGTAAAAGTTAACGTATTATTATTATAAATTACAAATACATTTAAAATAACAACTAATGCTCTATTTTAAGCAGTTTATCCGAATTTAAAAGTTATGGGGAAAAAAGTAAAATAAAATTATGATCTAAGAATTGCATCGTTATCACATTTATGGGGAAAACCCAAACATCAGGTTTTTTTAGTGCGTTGTTAATATTGCGAAATAAAACAAAAATTAATTTCTTCTTAATAAACACGCAAATGACGTCATAGCCCGAATCGCCAATGTTAGCCAAAACTGTTAAGTTTCTTTGATTTAATAACAACGCATTACAAAACTGATAAAGAATTCCCCCCCCCCCCTTTTCTTAAAGTAAAATTTATAAATTTAATTGATTTCTCTTTAAATTGTTAATAAAAAAAACCAAAATTTTTGATTTTTTTTTTTAATTTTTTATAATTTTTACTTTTTTTAAATAAAACAAAAATTAATTTCTTCTTAAAAAACACGCAAATAACGTCATAGCCCGAAACGCCAATGTTAGCCAAAAATGTTAAGTTTCTTTGATTTAATAACAACGCATTACAAAACTGATAAAGAATTCCCCCCCCCCCCTTTTCTTAAAGTAAAATTTATAAATTTAATTGATTGCTCTTTAAATTGTTAATAAAAAACACACAAATTTTAGCTTTGTATTTTTAACTTTTAATAAGTTTTACTTTTTTAAATTCCAAAAATATACTTTCATTAAATTTATAACTTCATAAAAACTTAACCTTTAAATATACTTCTAATAAGAAAATGTCGTTTAAATCAATCAGTGCAGCGCAACTCCATAGGAAAATAGCAGTCACTAAGCCACTTATAACTCATACAAATAAGAACGAACTATATGAAGAGCAAACTATGTTAGTTTGGGAATGGAAGGGACTAAAATCCGGTGGAAGATTTTCTAATTTTATTTAAATCCGGGTGGGGGAGGGGTTGGTCACGTTGCCCCTGGCAGAACAAGATAAGTCTCAAAATAAATAATCAATTTGATAAATAATTAACCTACTTGAGTACATTCAAATCGGAGATAGGAAAAAGGATGTGTACATTATTACGTGGATGACAATATATTTAAATGCTATGGTATTACATTTGTGAAAAAAGAGATGTTACATTCTCTTTTTAAAAATGAACAGATGGTTACGAATTAAGAAAATCAATGGCGTTAACAAAACGTGGGTACATTTATACAAATATACCCATGAATATCAACACCCAATCATTTTACACACTTGAAAATTTAAATTTGAAAAATAGAGGTGGGTTAATATTTACTTTCAAAAAATGAAAATACAATTTTTGTTTTTACTTTGCAAAAAGTAACGAGGTGTGTAGTTTTATGACATTAACAATTTTTTTTTTTTTAAAAGACACTCAAATCTTTTAAAGGCGTGAAAAATGGTTGCGAGACTCTCCTTGAGATAAAAGACTTCTTTGTTTGACGATTTTCTGATAATGTATAATTTAAAAAACAAGGCAAACGTGTGTTTACATTTTTGATGAAGATATCAAGAGATCAAATTCCTTTAATATTAAATATATTTATATTATATTATTGTTTTTTTTTCAATTAATTAGAGAGAAAAAAATGTAAATCAAGGCACGAAAAAGGGTAAATCTAAATTATTTCTCTAGCGTAGAATAGTCAATTAATTAACTTATTTAGTTACAAAATTGAAATAATTAGTGATAATTTAGACTGGGTAATTTAAGTAATTTAAGTTCAAGTAAATGGAAAAACAAGTAATTTAGGGGCGTGACAGTGAGTAGGGTAAGCGTATAATATATAGTAGATAAATATTTCTCAAAACTTAATGATGTTTGAAACGTAAATATTATTACATAGATACTTCTTTTTAAAGTTAGGAATTGTGATGAGTTTTTGCAACAGCAGGTAGAATTTATCGCAATAGACCTATAGTTTTTAATACGATAACATCGGGTCATTTATCCTAGTTATTAAATTATAAAAAATGCATACAGAAGATTTTACGAAAACCTTTGAGGATTTGTTTCTGGATTTGTTTAGCTACAACTCAAAGTATGTAAGAATAAGAAACTCCAGTTACCCATAACAATCCGCGAATCAATATAACAGCTCGCATGTCCGTAGCCAATCGTTTTGAAAGACAGTGTCGTTGTTACAATAACAGTTGCCACTATGATGCTTGGTGGTATCAAGGATAGCAGCACAGTTCTAATCATAGTTTTCGCACCGGAGTTCGGGGCAAGCGTGACGTTGGCCGTTTTAGAGGAGAAGACCCTGAACATATGGCAGCTACAGATGAACGTCCATGAGAACATCCACAGCCACAAGAAGTGGGTTAGGATACCGACAGTGGTGCAGAGCAGGCCAGGGCTTCTTCTGGAAAATCGATGTAAAAATTGATAATTTAGATTGTTTCTTAACATAATTTAATATTTCATTTATTTTACTTCCATTTTGACTAAATATGTAATTTTGGCCCAAAGATGCTAACTTCTAAAAAAAAAAAAAACAACTAAACTAAGCAGAATTACGAGTTCAGCTAATTTAGCCCCCAATCCTCACACCAACCCCCATCTTGCCCCCCCCCCCCATAGATTATTAATTAACTCCGGCAGTTGTATTTATACACTGATGGCTGAGATGTGGAGATATGAAGCCCTGGACACGATGGGTCAAAACATTTCTGGACCCTTGATACTGTTTTGATATTACCATATCTCAAATAGCGAAAATAGAGTCTCATACGGGCAGCAAAATATTACGGGAAAAGATTAACAAATTATTCCATATAATTCTAAATATGAATGAATGAGTCTATATGATTCTAAACATGTCCACATTAGTCGAAAAAACAGCATCATACACATACCTGTTATCGACCCAACGAGCAGTTTCTTTTAACCAAACAAGCCAAACTCTAAGAAAATGAAAAAACTTGATTAAAAGTTCAAGGACTTACACGTGATAACTCGTCATCAAAAATACTTGTGCGAGCAGCAGACTCAGGCTTAAGAATATATTGTTTATCCCGGGCACAGTCCTCAAGGTTGGAAACCGAAGGTACGTCACTATGGTCAGTGTGAGGCAAACCACGGACACCCCCACGCACGCGACAGCCAAGGCGTACTGTGCTACAGCTGACGGACTCAGAGACTCTGAGGGATGTGCTATGTATTCAGAGAGATCGATTTGATCCAACTTCTCATCAATGACGTGATGGCACACGTGAAGCACTTCATCGTCATCCCAAGCCATCATGTTGAGTTCTGCGATATCAGAGAAGTTAAGCTGTACACCCCTTAGGCCGATGGTGACGGTGATGCTGGGTGGGATTCCTGAGTGGTCTAAGTGAATGGTGTATTGGGTTCTTCCAAACCTCAGGTAGCCGCAGGCCAGCGTTGCTGTGAAATTCAAAAAATGGTCGGGGCTTTTGATGCCCCCCGAAAGCGTATCGGTCTTCGATAATTCCCCGATTTGAGCGCAGCGTATGTTGTGGAGAGAGTTTTCCGTGGCGAATTTACAAATATTGTCATTTCCGAGATCGAGCAGCATGCGAAAGATTCGCACGGAAACATTACCATTATCGTTGTTAGTATCCTGGACGTCAATACAGTCTCGGAAGAGATGATCCGTCAAAGACGTTTCAAACTCATCCCTCGTTAGATGGCTGGCAGCCTCTATCTTCAAATCAAGCCAGATGCCCAATGAGGTACTCAAATCATAAACCCGATCACTATCGCTTAGAGAGCTCGAAAGGACTCCCATGCGAATGTCATTAGCTAAACTGATACTGTATAGGCGTCGGTATATCTGAAAGACAATTCAAATGAACTATGATTTTATAGTCTTAGGAATAAAATATATAGTGTTTTGTTGTTTTTTTTTTACACGTTATGTCGAGATTTTATATAGATAGATTTGAAATAGATAATTACAAAACGTATTTCTATTTTTCTCCAAGTGTTTATCCCGTGATAAAATTAATTTCGTTATAAAAGTTCTTACGAAAATAATAATTAAGTGTTTAAAACGATGTTTATATGTGAACACATATTATGATTCTAGTTAAGTTCAATCCAGAAGACAAAATATTAAAAAAAGGTAATAAACTTAATGAATAATGAATGAACCGTAGTATACCTCCTTTAAGATGCTTGTCAACGCCGGATACAAGGATATCGTGGCTTCGAACGTTTGATTACAAGGGGCTAACCAGGACCGTACTTTATAGCCAAGTGCTCTTAGGCCAGTCAATACGCTCCTGCAGTTCCCATTTTTAAGGCTCTTCCCAGGAGAACAATGTAATGCGACACACTCTCCCTGAAATTTAAATACATGTCTACTCATGTTATTAACCACTATAAAAAAATGTATATTGTGTCACAATATTCCAAAAGACAATTTTAAATAAAACTATTTAACACAATCTATGCTATATAATGTCCCAATATAAGATTATATTCGTCATTTACATCATTTTTAAAGATGCATGTATGAAAAAAAACATTTGAAATGTGTTGATGTTGTGTTAACTTAAGAAAACAACAACTTGGTCAGAGCGTCCAATTTTCTTAATATACAAGGGACATCCAGGAACACCATTAACATTTCTGATTTAGAAAAAAAAGTAGGATCTTTCAAATATTTTTAAAATATAATTTATAACGGACAAGTATTTTGACCGTGTCCATGTTACCCACGTTTGGTGCGCGCCATTCATTGTTGGAGCAACCGCTTGCCTTGGATTGGGGTTTCTCTTTCAGATGGATTTCAGACAATGATGTGAGTATTAAAGTAAATGCAATGGGACGCTTTGAAAACTTTTGCTCGACACATGTGATTTTCCTGGGTATTGTTGGGTTCCATTTCTAAGTTAAAAATAGAAATTAAAAAAGAAAATAATTAAAAATCGCACATTTAGAAAAAAAGGAATTAAAATATTATAAGTCTCCAAAGCACATCTAAATATAAAATACGTTTTTGTAGTATGTGAAATAAAAGAGTATAATCACGAGCAATTATTATTCACTATTAAGATTGCGTCTGTATGAAATGTAATGACATAGATTGCGTCTATATAAAATCTAATGAAATAGATTGTTCCAATATGAAATGTAATGAAATAGATTGTTTCTATAATAATATAAAATCTAATGAAATACAGTTTCTAAGTGAAATCTAATAAAATAGATTTTGTCGATATGAAATCTAATTAAATAGATTGTGTCTATTTGAAATCTAATGAAATAGATTGTGTCTATATGAAATCTAATGCTATAGATTACGGTGATGCAGCAAACAACTTGATAACAGTCTCAACATTAATTACTAAAGAATATTCACTAAAATAAGGTGCATTAAATTGTCCACTTATCACAAATGATTATTCTCTAGGTATGTATGTATGACTGTAACGTTGTGATCAATAGGCGCATACAATAAAATTTCCAGAAAATGGCGCCAATTAGGATTCGTATTTAGTGCCTAACTCGAATCGATGCTTTGTTAAGTAACACTAGTAGATGGGAAGTTCACGCCAGTTAATTCCTGGTCTAATAATAACAAATCTTAAAGTACTTATCTTTGACTGATTGGAACAATTAATTTAAACACTTTGAAAATAATACAAAAATAATTATTTTATCAAAAATAAAACCCGTAAGATTGTTTGTGTTAAATTTTTTTCACGTAGAAAGCCATTGGAAACTTACTGTAATAGGCTATTGGGACCTTACTGTAATAGGCTATTGCAACCTTACTCTAGTAGGCTATTGGGACCTTACTGTAGTAGGCTATTGGAAGCTAACTGTAGTAGGCCCTAGGAAACTTACTGTAGTAGGCCATTGGAACCTTACAGATAACCTTTTATTTAAGGCTGTAGAAATGTTGAAATAAAGAACAATCCTGAGTTCATAAACATAAATTTTAAATGGATATTAAAATAGCTCTTATATTATGATAATTAACGCCTTACTAAACCTTTGGCATTATGATATTGTTATGATTCAACCCATACTAACCATTTGGTATTGTTATCTTATTATGATTCACGCTTCACTAACCATGGGGTATTGTTATATTATCATGATTCACATTTCACTTACCATGTGGCAATGGGCACAAAAAATGTTCCTGTAGTGCAAAGAAGTCGTTGTCTCGGCTATCAAGTACTTTAAGCTGGTAAGTTGGCCACACGCCCTCACTACGGCCTCGTCATTCAGCTGTTCTGGGCCTGAGCTGTTGCAGCTGTCTATGACCGTTTCACTGTATGACACCATGATATTATGGGATGATTTTAGCAAATTAAAGCGAATATTTCATTCTGCTTAATGAAAATGGAACACATACTTCACCCTGGTCTAATGAAAATAAAACCTACATTTCACCCTGGTCTGATGAACATAAAACCTACATTTCACCCTGGTCTGATGAACATAAAACCCACATTTCACCCTGGTTTAATGAACATAAAACCCACATTTCACCCTGGTCTAATGAACATAAAACTCAAATTTCACTCTGGTCCAATGAACACAAAACCCACATTTCATGTTGGTCTAATGAACATAAAACCCACATTTCACTCTGGTCCAATGAACATAAAACCCACATTTCACCTTGGTCTAATGAACATAAAACTCACATTTCACCCTGGTCTAATGAACATAAAACCCACATTTCACCCTGGTCTAATGAACATAAAACCCACATTTCACCCTGGTCTAATGAACATAAAACCCACATTTCACCCTGGTCTAATGAACATAAAACCCACATTTCACCATGGTCTAATGAACACAAAACCCACATTTCACCCTGGTCTAATTAACATAAAACCCACATTTCACCCTGGTCTAATGAACATAAAACCCACATTTCACCCTGGTCTAATGAACATAAAACCCACATTTCACCCTGGTCTAATGAACACAAAACGCACATTTCATCCTTGTCTAATGAACATAAAACCCATATGTCACTGTGGCCAAATGAAAATAAAAGCCATTTGTCACTGTCGTCTAATGAACATAAAACCCATATGGCAATATGGTCTAATTAACAATATTGCCATAATTGCTCTAATGTAATAATTAAAAAAAAAATATTTTATGATAGTCCCACGAATGTAAAACCCAAATCTCAATGAGGTGAAATAAAAAAAAGCCAAATTAAAATGGTCTAATGAGAATGAAACACTTATGGCTAAGATCTAATTAATATCAAACACAACACATGTTTTCATTATATATTTTCTTACTACGTTCTATATGTGAATCTGGAACATTCCAATGGTATCAGTCCAGCTTCAGGCTTTTGGGTAATGTAGCATAAATCTGTTTTTTGTAGAGCAAGTCGCAGCATTATGTCAGGGTCTTCTATCTTGTAGAACTCCATGAAGCTCTTACAATTGATGTTTATCAGCCACCGTGAATACTGAAAATAATCTCTCGTTACCATTTCGACCACTATATAGTCATCCACTAGCGTTGACCACTAGAGTTGACCACTAGAGTTGTTAAAAATGACAAGGTGAGAACGGGGAACGTTCAAGTTGATGAACGACAGCTTACGAAAAACAAATTAAGCCTTAATCATTTCGTTGTTTTTTAATCCCCAAAAAAGGGCGACATCATGAGATAATTAGACTTAAATTTTTTTTTGCAGAACTATTAGAACATCGAATTCGTCTCAGGCTTTACAATGGGATAATAACTTATTATGTTATCTTATTGCAGGTTTTATAATATTTGAACACTTTTCGAGCCTCATTTATAGATTTTTCAACTCTTATAACTTATATTCTATGCATTATTTAATGATTTTAAGTAATCAAATAGGTGAATCCTAAAAAAAATAATACCATGAATAATGAATGTACGACTTTGATATTATTTTGTACACATTCAATTAATAGAAAAATAAATCTTTTCAGCTTAAAAAAATGCTCCACCTACCCCCCCCGCCCCCCCCCCCAATATTCTCAATAACTCATGGCCCCACATTGAGTTATGTTATCATAGAATTAAAAAAAATACCCTTTGACTCTGATGTGCCCACCCAATAAAACATCGTATTAATTGATTGAACCAACCTCGGAA